CGTACACGCTGGCAGGCAAGTAAGTAGGTAGGTAGATAGGTAGGTATGTATACATTTAGATAAAATGGCCGTTTTTTGTCGTGTCATTTTAGAGCTTAACATGTAAATTGTCACGTTATACTGCATTTCGACTACACTTGCCTGTTTGATGCTGGATTATTGTTCGTTTATGTTTAATCTTGATGATTTATTACTTGTAGTACAGGGATCAATATGCATATGGTAATAACATTTTTAAACAACGTTTTAAGGTTTATTTGACTACCAAATTAATAAAAAATAGACTATTTGAATTTTGCCAATTCTTTAATGTCGAATTAAGTGTAAAGCGTATGTAAATAGATAAGATATTATTAGATTGAAAGACGCAATCCTAAGGTGAACGTCTGCTCCGTATAGGCATATGATTACACAACCATCTGAACTTTTATATAACACCATACTTGTCGTTACAGATAAAAAAACAGTACTTGTTGATGTTTTGCTGAGGTAATTCAAATTTAAATTATATCATGTTCGATTTTGGTTAGCTCACATTGTAAAGATAAATAATAATATTTTAAAATAAGTTACAATGTGAGAAATGCTTAGATGCAAATGCCCTACATTGATTTGCAACTCGTACACTACTCATGTCATTTTTACAGGCAACCTTTACCACCTTAGTGCAAGGAAAATTAATCCTATAGGTCTAACTTGCAAAACCCTTTTTTTATCTTCCTTCATCTATCTAAAACGTATAAACCACGTCCTATGCTTTTTTTCTAACTGACACTGTGAAACCTCTTTTTCACCCTTACCCGAACGTTCCAAACTGAATCAGCCAACCACAAGATGCAAGAACAAATCCTGACCAGAAATCAAACCTTTGTACTACTAGAGTAGCCGTATTTCAAATTGGCTCCTAACCAACCGAACGATAGCTGCTCATGGGAGGTCTAAACATCGTACGGCCTTTATATATTCCATAAACTAGAAATTTTTAAAGTTATACTTTTATAAGCGCGTTATGCGCGAGAGTAAATCAACGATTTCAGATTGGTGACCTTGAGAAAAAGTGTAACGGGAGTAAATTTGTCATGATACTCGTTCTTCACTCCATCTCCCTCTCCATACCAGCTCGTGCTGGTCCCCACCACACTACACCACACGACGCCCAGCCACCGCAGCACACAGCCCACATTTTAAATTTCATTGAATGTTATTTTTTTTACCGATTCTTGAAAAAAAAAAAGAATTAGAATAAGTCGTACTTTTCTAGACGTCATTCTGTTAAAAAATGATTAGCAAGCCGTTATGCTAATAATTTATCTTTGAATGAAACGCTGCAACAATCAAAATGATCCTTGAAAATAAATTTTTGACGCTGAGAACCAGATTAGATAAATAATTATTATTGACTTTGTAATAATTGTTGACTGGATAAATAAAAAATAATATTTGGTAAGCCACTGTTTACTACATTTACGATAAATTTATTTCATTTTCAAATATGTTAAAATATTGTAATTGTCGTGCCATTCGAATATTATGGCCTTGGAAGGATTAACTGTTTCAAATAAAATAAAATACTTCTTTAACCCTCCAGTTGTGTGCTTAGACCTGTAGTCCCTAGCTAGTAAGCAAAAAATCTAATCTAATCATAATTTTTTTTGCTTTCTCTCTCTCTCTCTCTCTCTCACTCTCTCACTCTCTCTCTCTCTCTCTCTCTCTTAAAAAGTANTTTTCAGTAACTCATAAAAATAATTTAGTAGTATTAATGAAAAATATTAGTAACAAAGATAGATCATCAAAACAAACTTTTTTCCAGATAAAATTTATATCGATGAGATAGAACCAGGCACCAGACATATAGTCCATTGCCATGAGATAAAAAAATACGATTTAATCTTGTTTTCCAGTAGAAAGAAATTGGTCATTAACAATTTCTGAAAAAATACCAATTTTTTATTTGGTTTTCTGCTTATATCTCCGCTTCTATTCCTCTCAGAGAAAATTTTCGACCACTAATCTTTTCGTCATTAAATTTTCTATTGAATAGACGCTTTTACAAGTTGATTATTTATTGTTATTAACACGTTAATGGCAAAAAAGTGACGAAAAAGTTTTTCAGACGGAAAAACTCTCGATTGACGTAAAAAAAAGATATAGATATTCAGTTGCATAGTAGTTTGTTTTTATCTAATTTTTTAAAGTGAAACTTTGAATTGTCATTACAAACTTCACGATCGGTTTATCGACATTTCACTTCGATAAAATCATTGTACTCAATGTTCGTAATGATAACAAATAAAAAAAATTGATTTTTGAGAATTTTGACGTTTTTCCACTAAAAATATCATTTTGCAACTTAAAAAATTGCAAATATTTTAGTCAATTTTGCATATTATTTTATAACAAACGTCATTGAATTCTTTATTAAAAGATAAGAACTTAAAAAAAAACAAAAAAAACGCTCTAGCTCACTCGAAAGCTGAGATACTGGAAATTGGCGTTTTTTAAAATAACGGTCTGATAATTTAATTTCTTACTGCGAAAAAATTTGTGTATTATCCCTATTTATTTCTCCATCACACTGTTTTAGCATTTTATCTATTTCATTGAAAAGGAACCAAAAAAAAAATTAAGAAAATCGTAATGTAATAACTGAGGCAGGTTAGCTCTCCCATCATACCTCTCTTGCGGCTAGGTGGCCAACGGGCTGCAGTGCACATGGGGCAATTTGAATTTCTATAAGTTGTTTAACATAATTATACAGATAAAAAATAGTATTAAACATTGAACATGTTTGGAGTTGTATATCTGTATTGATGGCCAAGACTATTAATATAGACACATGCCTCAATGATGCTGGGGTTAATCGATGCGCTCCAAATACTTTAATAAAACAAATCTTATTGACGTAGGGTAGGTTAACGACATATACATGCCACCGCGCCGCAAAGAAAAATATTTAATAATCAACAATTTACTAAAAACTTATGTAATACTTATAAATAAATTTTTTTTTTCGTGCTCATCCAATGTAAAATATTTATTTTATCATAATTAATGCGGAGTTGCAGCAGAATGTATTGGGTTTGAGGGAAATTCTGAAATAGCGCAATCACTGGGCACTTTTAGAACGATTGGTCGTGATTAGAAAAGGACAGTAATATGAATTCATTTCTATATGCTTGTAGATAAGCGACATTTAAGGGTTGGTTACCTGGTGAATGGAGCTGGAAGCTCGATTTCATACTACTTTTTCTAATCACGACCAATCGTTTTAAAAGTGCCCAATGAGGACGCTACTTCAGAATTGTTCAAAGCTAATAGGGGAAGAGAAGCCTCACTTGTATGTTGACAACTCACAAATGTAATTACTTTGATACTGAAGTCCTTATGTACTACTAGGTAATCCATTGGAGAACGTATGTATTACTAAGAATTTTGTGAGTGTCGAAATCAAAGTGGTCAAGGGTTACCGCAAGGCTTATTGGATTAAGAGAAAGCATTCAATTTCTTTCATTTTTTTTAAGAGTTGCCATTGTACATCATAATAATTTGTTGGAATCAAGAACAGGGTCTATTGAAAAAACCTATTTTTATGGCATAACGTACGGTTAACTACTATTACAACGAACTATTTAAAGTAGTAAGTGTGTCCATATTGACAAGTCAACTTTTTAGTGCACGTCCATAATGTCTCCTGCAGCGTATTTCTATTAATGAAATAAATAAAAACTGTGTAAATAGTTGATTACTAGTAATGTAATGCAAAAAATCAATTAGATTTCTGGATGTTAGTGTAGGCATAAATAAGTTTAAAAACGTTATGGTAATGCTATATAGTTTTTTTTTTTTTTATATTATAGTGCTCTACGTCTGGCTCCTTCAATAAGGGCACTACTATGGGCACTTAGCACTTGGGAAAGGGACAAGGAAAGGGATGGGAGGCCTCCCATTACTGGGAGGGGGTAGGGGGAAATTAGGCAATTATGCTGCAAGGAGGTCGCCTAAACCCTCCTCGAGGAGCATTACGTGGTGAAAAATCACAGTGGTACTTGCCCGAAAAAGTCGCACTATGGCCGGGAATCGAACCACGGTCTCCCGCGTGCCAATCCACGACCTAGCCGACTGAGCCACCGCGCGCTCATGCTTTATAGTTAAATCAAAATCAACACAAATAATTATATATTTGAACACAAATAAATCTACAGCTATTCACAATTTCCTTAAGTAAATAGAGATGATCGAATTTGAGATACTTTTTCAGTGGGATATGCATTTATTTTACTTGCAACAACCTTTTTTAAGTTAAGTTTCTGCAGAATTCATTCCGTAAATTAATACTTATTTCAAAATAAAATTTAGAAAAGTAAACAAAAACTAAGTAAAGATAAACAATTGTATATCTGGAGCTGTCAAAAAGGCTCTTTTTTTATCATAAACTTGGAGTTTTTTAATAGAGACACAGATAAAAATATGGTGTCCCTGCTGCTTAAATACGGGGGTATTATAAAATACGCAGTTTTATTAAATACTAATGATTCACATCATGAGGTCGTCATTTTTTTTTTTTAAGTTCACTAAAAAAGCATAGGATTTGATTTATGCACATAACAGAAATTTCATTAGTACAATACATAAAGGACTTACTTCTTCGTGTAAACAAAAATAGTATACAAGGATGCTATTTATGTTTTTTTTTTAATTAGGTCAATGAACTTAAATATGTAATAGTATTACTATGAAACAAGTATGTCCACAATCATTTCTCTTTCTAAGGGTTTCTTTTTGTAACCGAAAAATATTAAATTAATCACGTAGTTTTTACTTTTACAGCTATTATTCATCATTTTAAGAATTTTTTCACAAACCTTAGAACCACTAAAGTATTTGTTATACTAATTTGTCTACAACAAAATGATGTAGAAAAAAACATACGTAAAGAATCTATTAATACATTGACATGTGTACGATCAAAGATTATTGTTTTTTGTCAAAATATGTATTACCTGGACTAAGGGGGAACACTGTTGGTTTGTTACGCTTCGGTGCTGGGTATAAGAGCTGCGTAATAAGGCCATCTGCAACCATAGAATGATGGTGGACCAATTCTGCTAGTGTGTTAAAAATACTTTCTGTTGTCACGTACATCTGTAATACAGTATTAAAATTTTAGGTACAAAATAAAAAAGCAAGTAAAAATATCAAATTATATTTACTTTTCCATCAATGTCTTCATTAATTCTGTAATGATATACTCGTCCTTCATACCGCAAAGATATGCTGCGCTGTCCAGGACTACTTTCGGAATCACGGACAAGAAAACTGCCATTTATTCCAGAACTTAAAAGATACTCAGCTGCATTTCTTGATATTCTACCATGATACCAAGAATGTTTTTCTAAGGAATTCAAGGGAGTTACATAATTTGATGGCACCCAGCCAACTTGGCCACTGTTTGAATGAGCTTCACACCACTCTCCACTTTTGTTGTAACTTGATATTCGGACTTGTTCACCTATTTCAAACATAAATTTTACTAGTTAAGAATAAACTTAATAGTATAGAGAATCAATTCTTTAAATTATGAATAATTATGTACACAATAGTATAATTAATTAGTGTAATTTGTGTAAAGAAAAATGATATATTACTTTTTCTGTACTCTCTTCATCAAGATATCAACTCTTGTACTATAGGAAGCGAAAAATATGATAAAAAATATTGTATATGTAGTTGGAAGCCGCAAAATGTATTTTTTCAGTAACTCATAAAAATAATTTAGTAGTATTAATGAAAAATATTAGTAACAAAGATAGATCATCAAAACAAACTTTTTTCCAGATAAAATTTATATCGATGAGATAGAACCAGGCACCAGACATATAGTCCATTGCCATGAGATAAAAAAATACGATTTAATCTTGTTTTCCAGTAGAAAGAAATTGGTCATTAACAATTTCTGAAAAAATACCAATTTTTTATTTGGTTTTCTGCTTATATCTCCGCTTCTATTCCTCTCAGAGAAAATTTTCGACCACTAATCTTTTCGTCATTAAATTTTCTATTGAATAGACGCTTTTACAAGTTGATTATTTATTGTTATTAACACGTTAATGGCAAAAAAGTGACGAAAAAGTTTTTCAGACGGAAAAACTCTCGATTGACGTAAAAAAAAGATATAGATATTCAGTTGCATAGTAGTTTGTTTTTATCTAATTTTTTAAAGTGAAACTTTGAATTGTCATTACAAACTTCACGATCGGTTTATCGACATTTCACTTCGATAAAATCATTGTACTCAATGTTCGTAATGATAACAAATAAAAAAAATTGATTTTTGAGAATTTTGACGTTTTTCCACTAAAAATATCATTTTGCAACTTAAAAAATTGCAAATATTTTAGTCAATTTTGCATATTATTTTATAACAAACGTCATTGAATTCTTTATTAAAAGATAAG